TATGTGCCGTGGTCCAAAGATCTTTCGACTCGATGTTGGCAAACATGGTCCTGGATCCATTCAAAGCCAGACAACCATTGCAAGGAATTCTAAGGCAACCAAAAGTTTTGACCGCGTCGGCCGATTCATATTCGCGGGCGCTGGGGCACTGGCCTCTTGGGCGTCGTGCTGCACTCCTGGCCTGGGATCGTAAGGGGAAACCAACCAGGCCCGTTGAGCGGTTACCTTGTAGAAAAGTCTTCCTTTTTTGGGGGCGGGGGATCGTCCCCTACTTAGAGAGACAACGCACAAACGCACGTCGTGTGTGTGCGTGTGGGTGGATCCCGCATATGAGACTTTGCTATCCTCCGCGAACTCCGGTCTATGGCGTACTTCACTCGTTGATTGCAGCCAACCAGCGTCCAAGGGATGGCTTGCTTTCACAAATGTCGACGATATTACCGCAAACAACTAACAGGGGGATAAAGGCCGATACCCCCACCCCGCACCCTCCACATGTGAATGAGGCTTCAATTACTCTGATGCCAGCTTGGTTTTGTTTTAAAGGTACCCAAAAAGCAACAAGGGGGTCCCTCTCAAACAGAAGGGCCGTCCTTTCTGAGTTTATCATTTTCCGGGGTCCAAAAAGCGGTCCATGATGTTCATGCCGTTGGGCCTGGAAACCGCAAATCCATCCAAATCGGCTCGTCTCGGCTCCCAGCTGCTCAGCCACGAGGGCGCAGTGCTTGCAGAGCAGTCGCAGGAAGTCCTCCGATGGTGTCTCATAGTCAACCCCGCGTAGGTCGAAACATCCACGTGTGGCCATTGCAACCTTGGTTTAGAGATCAAATATCCGAACGTGGCTAGTGTGCACAAACAGTGAATAACTAAGCACCATGGTCGGCAACACCACCAAATGAACTGATTCACCGTTTAACCTTTTGCTGGCGAGTTGGAAAACATACAGTTTCCCAGAAAGCTAAAGGTCAAACAGACCCGACCAGGTAGCCGCCAAGCTGCGTGCCTTTGGAGCTGGGGTGGTTTCCGGAAAGGAACGGAAAGCCTGCACATCCATACGGCGGCAAAGCCTAGATGTTGAATCACCCACAGGTAACGTGTGGTGAACGTCTCCTTGCGCAAACGCCAGCAATTGCTACTTGTCCTACAAAGTAGTTTCAACATGCGCCGCAAAGCAGTCAAGACCCTGCCCTGCGGTGAGTGGGTATGTGTCAAAAGTAGGGACCCTCTCAAATGGTTCGTGCTGTTCCCTCTCAACAGTTCCCCACAAGGATGCAAGTCAGTTTTGGCACGAAGCCTATGTGAGCCACGGCCAAAAATATAATATTCCCTTTCATAGGTGTAGCAAACTATAAGCGAAGCAACTTGGTTCTGTGTCATTGAAATTAGCAAGGGGTCCCTATGTTGTGTCCATCCCAAACGGACCACGGGACAAGTTTAGCATACCTCCAAGCGGAATCCTGCGCTTTTGGGAGTCGCTTCGTATTTGTTCAAAAAGGGCCCCCTGATAGGACCACGAGGAATCAACCTTTAATAGAGGGAACTTTGTTCATGTCTCCAAGATTGTCCAAGAAGATTGGTCTACAAGTACCGATCCCGGCATCAAGACATGTTGACCCACACGACTCTCCTCCGGCGCGACTGCCGACTGACGTTGCGGGCCTCGGGTCAAGGTCTGGCCGAAAGATGATGATGAGACACCACCCAAATTCAAGGTCTCAAAATGTTCCCAGTTACTGCGAGATTCCCATTGTCAGGTTTGTCTTGAGCATTTGGTTGTCTCTTTTCGGGACCTCTCCATTTTGGTTGTTGCTAAATAGAAAATAGAAGGAAACCCAGCGATTTGGGGATCCTCGAATGAACAGGTTCCACTTGTGGCCATAGGACACGCTGACGCTGGAGCAACAGACCCCTTTTTTTCCAGCCCCTTGGGGAATAGAGAAAGCGCTCTCCCTCAAACCTCTGCAGGTCAGGTGTCCTCCTCTTTGCTCTGTGCCGCAATTTTCCAAATAGAATGGCAAAAGATTGAGAAGTGTTCCGGTACACATGCAACTCCGAAGCGTTGGTCCCGTCCAAAATTGAGCTACGCAAACGGAACCACTTTCTGCACAGGTTGGCCTCTTTCAGAGTTTGCAGGTAGGTAGTCGGCTGGCCCAAAGAATGTGTCCAGCTCCAGCCCGCAAGCCACGCGCATGCCCCACACCCTGGGCCTTGCCCACCCCTCAGTTCTTGGCGCTTGGAACCATGCGAGAGCTCGACCTAGCCTTCTGGCCCATAGGGACCCAGACCTTCACCTAGCCACACCTTGCGCTTGCCCGCTGCCTTCAAGCAGCTGCGGCCCTTGGAACGTCACCTAGCCCCTCTTGCTGTCCTTCAGCGCCAAGCAAATATCGCGGAGCTAATCCTTCCGCACGTGGGCAGGCAGGAAGGTCGCCCCTTGCCAGCTGCCCAGCCTCCCCACGCCTGGGCCCTGGAGAAACAACGGAGATCGAAAGAAACCTTTACATCAAATAGCCCATGGCCGAGGCAGGCAGTGCGAAGCGTTTACAATTCAGCGGAAGCCGAAAAAATACAAAGGAACCTCGTGTCGCGATGTCCTTTGCGCAGTCCCTTCAAGGTTGGTTGATCCAACCCCTGGCACCGACCCCCTGACGCCCCTGCCCAGCCTTCTGGGAAGAGCTGGCGAAGCAAAGTGGCGACGGCTCGTGCCATATCCTGCGGGGGGCCCGCCAAAACTGACAGTGGTCTCAGCTCAGCAGTCCACATGCCGGAGAAACCTTTCAGACCAGAACAGCGACCATTTGGAGGCCAAAACAACAGGCAAAAACCATGATGTTCAAAAAGATCGGCTTCTAAGCAGTCTTTTTGACAAATAATTTCATGAGTCAACAGGCGGACAAAGACTAAGCTCCCAAGCAGGCTCCGAGCTTTGTTTGGAACAGACCTCAACGAAACGCTCTTCGCCCGCACGGCCGTTCTGCAGAACCCTCGGCTCTACATGGTTGGAGGGTTTCCAAATGCAATGGGGGCCCAACTGCTCCTGCTGGCGACGCCTCTGTCGCCGGATGTTGATGCAAACACGATTGCGGGCACAACCAGTGGTGGGGCCAGCCCTTGAATATATCCCCAACCGTCCTCACTTCCCAAAAAATAATCGGCTCCCACAACATCCTTGGCAAAAGAACCTGGGCCATTCCTGTTTCAAGGGAAGTTTCACCACCTCAACCGTCTGTTCAAGCCTGAAGAACCGATGTGTTCACTCAACAATCATGCGTTCCTCTTTTGTGAAGATTGTCCGCAAGAATGCGGAGGAGATACTTAGCGCGCTGGTCTAGAAATGGGCGTGTTTGAAAACAGGGAAAGCAAGTCGCTGAGCCATAAACATCGGCCGAGCAGCTGCATTCTGTTCTCCTGTTTGTTCCGAGAAGGAGAATTCTCATGATGTGAAGCACATGTATTGCTGGAGCCGTTTCTGAGTTGTATTTTCCTTCCACAGGCCCAGAGATTGCCCAGAACTTGACGTCAATTCATATTTCTTTCATCTTTTGTGCATTCTCGGGGCAGGATCAACCATTTGGCTACGTCTTTTGAGGCTACCCTTGCTGAGGCTGTTTAAAAGGAATAGCTGAAATTGGCAACTCACACACACACACACTCACACATTGCGTGCACGCTTTTGGTCGCTCTCCCAGGAGTCGCTGGACGATTCGGGGATCAATTGACCATAAGCCCCGCGACGCGCAGCCAGGCCGGCGCCAGTGAAAAGAGTATTGTGTCCAGCTGCGTTGCGCACCGGGGCATGTTCGGGCCTTCAATTTGCACAGCGGCAAATCTACAGAACAAAGCCTCCAAAAAGCGCCTCAAATGGAGAAAACGGCGATTGGGTTTGGAAATCCTGACACGTAAGAACTCACAAGGACGCAATTCAACCGCCTTCCCGATGTTTGACGAACGTGCCATCGAGCGCTGCGCACCTACAAGAGCAACGCGCACCCCCAGAAATAGCTGGTTTTCAGCCTGCCCTGTGCCGAATTCGGAACGAGACAATGCTCGGTGCAGGCTTCACACCGTAGCAACCGATGGGGTTCGAACCGAAATGTCAACTTCGGATTCCGGAGCACGGCACTCAAGAACCACTTTTGCGGCGTGGATCCTGGGGATTCCGACCGTTACGGTCCTCCGGACTAGTCCGAAAATTGACATGAACAATGATCAATTCTTAATTTGTGCTCGCTTGTGTTTTGCTTGTAGGCTCATCCCACAGAGAGCTTCAGCTAAGGAGCATTGGGCACAAGAGCCCTGCCAATTACTTTGAGAGGCCCGGTTTTGCGATAAAAACTCGGGGATTCCAGTCCCTGTTGAGCGCATATCCGCTCATCTGAGAAGGAACTAGATCTTCAAATGCGATCTCCGGAGGAGACATGCACAGGATGATTGGCTTTGTTTCCGCCTGTCATCGAACATCTAGAGGTGCGCTCGTGTGAGCACGCAATATTTCGTCCGCCTAGCTCTGTCTTTTGGGTCTTTGATCGGATGAAGTCCTGGCTGGCAGTGTTTTGAGGATATCAAACCTGGCTTGTCACATAATGGAGGACCTCTCCAATGGTTGGTTTCATTGGGGTGCGCCAACCAACCGCAGGAGGGTTCTGCATTTTGTGATGTTCCCGTGTACCCATGCAGAACTAGGGGCTTTCGTTGCGGTCTGTCCATGCGACGGCAACCCTACTTGCAGCTCGAGGCAATGCTTGGAACACACTTGATAAATCAACCACGGTGACGCATCATGTAAAGATTGAGTAATCCGATGAATAGCTTGAAGTGGCGTGAGTATCATGTCTCGACTTTGTTGCCTCAGCCACTTGCGGAGCTAGATCACATTGGCTTGCAATGGAAACCGCGTATCCTGCTCAGGGCAAAAGCGCCCGATTCGATATTTAGGAAACGCGCTATCCCAGCGCCTCCGTCCAAATCAGCACGAAATGTCCTTCTTCAACCTATACACATGCGACTTGGCTGATCGACAAAGGCGCAGTCTTAAGTGTCCAATTCTGTGCAAAGCCTCAGCTAAGAAGCTTCGGGACCGCCTGTCAGTGCAAGAAATGCCTTTGCCGGGCTTTCGGGTCAGCATGAACTGGAACTGTCCAAAAGGAATGCATTCTCGGGGTCTCGTAATATACAGGGGAGACAAATCAACTGATTGCGAAATCAAACCAACAAAGGATCATTCCATGTGGGATTCCAATACATCTTTCCGAGAATGGGCAGGACAGCGACCCCTTCCAGCTGGAAATGTTGGATCAAACCCAATCCAAAGTATGGAACATCAAAATGACACTTTAGATCTCCTCTAGTAGTTTCAAGATGGACTCCCCAAATATTGCATGTAGGGAACCCGATTTCGCTTGGCTGGCGATGGATGTGGATGGCAAAATACAAAGGACCGGCATTTGCCAACTGCAGGGAAGGCATCCTTGGAAGACTATTAGAGGCTTCTTGAGGATGCACTTGGAGGTCTATCCCAGACTGTTGTTTCTGGCGAGCATGGCCCCGGTTTTTGAAGATCTACTGAGCGGGGAGAAGCTCCAAGCACCTCTCCCTGCGAGATCTGGACATCCATTCTTCGGGAATGTCCTGCAATGGGGAACGCCTCCTAATGGCAGGTGTCCTTTCACTTGTTCTTCGAAACAAGTAACCAAGAGGCGTACCCAAACACAACAACTCCATCCGTTGTCATCAGGCTATCGCTATCCATAACGATCAAACATGCATTTTACAGATTTAGCTTGGGAGCTAGCAGAATTTCAGAACTGGTCCAGCTGATAGCCGAAGATATCAAGTGCGTCTTGGTGATCCAAACAGAATGCAAATGCCTTGCCCCCAATCCCGCTGGTGGTTCAAATGTCTCTGAAGGTTTTGGGCAGTTCTCAAAGAGAAGGGGGCTCGACACACTGCCTGAGGCTCGAGGGCTAATTCTCAAAAAGGTAAGTCTCCAACGGGTCAAGGAGTCTCCAGTGGAGGGGGTCTCCATGTGCAACCCCACAGCACGTTGCCTTTCCGGTCGGCTTTCCGAATAGCACGTGAGGAGATCCCCCGCATGTTCCTCAGGAACAGGCCTTCCAACTTGTCACGTTCTCTTGGGTGAAGGGTGATTCCATTCCCGAAGAACTGGCAAGAAACAAACACCTGGCAGCTCCCAACAAGAATGCGCTTTCTCCAGCTCCTAAGCTTCAGGGCAATAGCAGAAGCGACGCAGAGCAGAAGGACCGCGCTTTCGCAGTGCGACCCCGGCCTCCCAGCATAGCTGCATAGCTGTTCCAATTATGGCAGGTCACGGACCTGCCAAAGAATTCAGCGGGCGGATATCTGGTGGGTGTGAGGGGGGAATTTTAAAGTGCCGTGTATTGCTCGTTCGCTTGTGGTTGCGATGCCCATCAATTTCGCCAATGTTCTCATCCCAAGCCAGTGCAATGCAACCACAGGATTGAACCATACTAATCAGATCAAATCAGACCCCAAGCCGAATCCGTTTGGCCACTTGGAAGGGGATACAATTTGCTTTCGCGCAGAACTTGGCCCGATGCTGTTGCGCCAGTTGGTGTATCGGGGCCAAATGCTCACTAAGGACTCGATTTGCTTTGGCTTGAGACCGGGATGCAAAGGGCTCGATGTTCGAATCGCCCTGTTGTGATCCGGGTCGATGGTTGGATGGCAACCACTTAGCTCTTGGTGCTCATGTTGAACTGCTGCACCTGGACAACCAAAACCGTCCCCAACTGGGAAAATGATGGAAACTGATTACTGATTTTGACCGGGGTGCGGCCCTCGAAATGGTAACATTGAAATTGGGGGCAGTGCCCTGACGCGCCCCTCGTTCTGAACGGGAAATTTGAGGGCTGGCGTTGTTCGTGCTCTCCAAATTGGGAGCTGCTGGCAAGCGGTCAGTGGATCAAATGAGTTCGTCCACAACGTACGGAACCCACAAATCAGGTTGATGGCCTTTGTTTCGACAAAAGCGATGAATGCGTGGAAAGATGTCGTCCACTCATCCAAAATAGAGGCCGATAGAAAGCTGCTGCAGGATGAACATGGTTCCTGTTTGTTTCTCTTTAAACACCTCCCAAGAGGGGATTCCAATTCTGGTGCTAGTTGGGTCTGATTCTTCATTTCCATGGGGATGTATGTCTGCCCAGCCAATCATGTTTTGAGGTTGCGTCCCGTTGAAACTCATGTCTATAGGGCAACCTGCTAGGTGGCTTCGCCGATATCGCCACCTGCCGCAGGACTGGCAGCACCTGAGCTGGCAAGCAGCAGGCTTGGATGGAGTTTTGGCCCTGGCAAAACGCCAACTTGTGCGTAGTCTGAGCCTGGATTCCCTCGTATTCCTTTTGCTCTTAACACAACACCAAAAAGGGCAACCTCAAAGATGACATGCCCAGCTGATCTGAGCTGAGGGAGAGTAAGTGACACAGATTCCTCTGTCGGAGTGGTGGTCCAAAGGTAACAAAGGGCTGCTTCAAGATCTGTGGTCGAAATGAGTACAGAGAACGCCAACTCAAGCGTTCCGCAGGTTCCGGATTTCCATCAGCCTGTAAAAATTGAAGAGCTGCTGCGGCTTGTGGATCGACCCACCCTTGTTTTCGGGCTTCAGCACCCGGAAAGAATGGGGGAAGTACGGCTAGAAACATGTGGTTCCAACATGCGTGGATTTTCCGCAGAGTCACCTGCTCCCGCAGGTCTCTCGCGATACAGTCTAAGCCCTGCACCCCAGCCGCATGAAGGTTCGCTCCCACTCAAACAAAACATGGATTTGTCTCCACAGTAGATAGGAGAAGCGCCCCTGGGCGGTTTTCCACTGCTCTACTCTGTTGACCAACCCCAACAAGGCACCCCTCCAACAACGGCACACCCCCAATCGTTCAACCCTTCTGAAAAAACACTGGTTCGAGTTGGCACGTCCCGCAGCCTGCAAAAAAAATGCCACCTCGCTTGCCCACGGGACCCAAAAAAAGGAACGCGTGTTTCTTGGTGGGAAGGGGGGACCACAGGCCGAAGACGGGCTCGGCACTTCTGGCGAGCAAAGGCAGACCAAGGGCACGCCGTGGCGAGCCAAGCCCCCAGGGCCCCGGGCTGTGCGGGCGAGCTGTTGGCCCAAGAGCTGCGAACCGGCGGGGGAAAAGTGGAGCCTAGCGAATCCGTCAAGGCAAGACCTGTGAGACCTGTGAGACCGTGAGACCCGTGAGACCTGTGAGACCCGTGAGATCCTTGGTTCCGGGGAGTTGAACTGCTGAACCTCTTGGCTTGGGTGGTGTGGCCCTTGTGGTTCTGTGGCCTTGTTGGCTTTGTGGCTTGGCTTTGGGCGGGAGTGGTTCAAGGATCTGGGTAAATTGGTATCCCAAACACGAAGTAAGGAAACACCCACAGGTGAGCTCAATTTACCGGGTCTGTGAGATCGCTAGCAATTGTCCAGAGGGATCTAACGGGCCCCAAAGGAAAAGAAAGCCTTGGTCCGCTAATACAAAGGAACAAATCAAGAAAATGGTTGCTCCGAACCCCCGTGGCCCTCCATGGCCCTGCGTGTGAAAGGCAAAGTACAACTGGAGGGCCGCTGAGAAGCACCGAAAAGATACCAAAAGGAAGCTGAAAAACCTCCTGGAGGCTCTGGAGGGTCCTTGATTTGTGGTCGGGAAGAGGTGGAGCGCGGAGCGTTTGCTCCTGGTAGAAGGGAAAGGATGGGCCTTTCGTTCTGCGGAGGAGAATTCTGCGGACAGTGCCGAGGGATGCGCCAAAGGTTGCGTGGGTTTCTATGCAAAGTGGGAAAATGCATCAGCGAAATGTCCTGCTTGCAAGGCCTCAGATACGAAGCAGCTGGAGGAAGCTGCAAGGCAGTGGGCGAAGTCGACATCCAAAATCACAGCGTGGGTGGAAAGAGCGTCTGCACTTCCTCCTGCGCCGTCTGCGCCGTCTGTGCTGGTGCGGTTGGTGATGGGGGCCGGATGCTGCGCAAATCCCGCTCGCAATAGAAAATCACGACCCAGAATTCAGCACGTGCCCCAGAGACACAAGCATAACGGAATAGCATTGAAAAGCTGTTCACACAGGAAGGAGACCCGGGACCTTTGTCTGAGTTCACAATCACTCAGACCAATAAAATGTACAACTCTGATCAAGCACCGCCCAAGTCCAACAACTTTTGAGCTGCCATTTTGTTCAATAGCTTTCCTTTCGGGTTCCCATTGGGATGCCTCTTGAGATCCCCCGTCAACTTGCGGCTGATCCTCCCCGGTCCCATTTTTCCCTCCTTGCTTGGTCCTCCTCCTTCTGGAAAGTATTGCAACAGGAATGAAAACCCCTTTTGGAAGACTTCTGGCCTTGGTAGGAAGGGCACTTCTATGCTTTGGAACATGGTAAAATGTAGCAATTGAAATGTCAGTTTCTTGCACTAGAAGCCGCTCATGTTGAGCTCAAAAAACATGATTGACACAACTGCAGATAGCAATGAAATTGGCGGTGCGTGCGTCTTTGCGGGCATTTGGAATGGAACATCTGTGAGTACTAAGGGAGGCAGTCTGGGCAATAGCATTGGCAACCTCACAGCAAGGTCTGGCACGTTTTCGGTGGAGCGTGGACGTCTTCAATGCAAGGGCTTCTTGAAGGCTTAAAGGCGTCCGCATCTGGATAAGTGTTTTGCCAGAATCACTGTCACCCATAAATCCAAATCAATGCATGGCTTCCCTCCTGAAAGCCTCTCTCCACTTCAGCTTCCCCCCCCCCCCGCCGTGCCTGTCCGGGTCCCAAGCATTGGCTGCATTTGCAGGAATGAAATGGCCAGGATCGATAAACGCCTGGCGCACTTTGGAGCGGTAAGGCGGCAAGGCGGTCACGGGGTAAGGCCACATGCAGCGGCACATGGTAGGCAACGCTCTTCAGCCCCAAACAGGACGCAAGTACCTAGATTTCCAGGCAACAAATGGATGCCGATCTTGGCATGGTGGATTCAACAATGGAAACCCTGGATGCTGTCTGAAATCCGGATTTAAGGGAATGTTCTACTTACCCAAAGTGACCTGAGTCACAACTAAAGCCAATAATTTCACCTGCCCGAAGCGGTGTTGATTGTGGCTCACCTGTCATTTCCACCAAAGTAAGTTGAACACCTTGCCCACATCGTGGCTCGTGGCATCGAGGCGACTCACCAGGTCAAAAGAATCTTGAACACTCTGCTCTGACTCTATGCACCAGGCCACCAGGCCGACGGAGATGTGTCCTGATTTAAGGAACCCGCTTTGGGTTTGTTGGAAAACCAAAAGGAAACCAGCCATTGGAGGGTTCCAAGTCTTGTTCTTGGAAACACACACACACACACACCAAACGCATGAAGTGTCGGTGGAATGCTCACAGCTTTAGCCAACCCCAAGCTCGCCCACTCCAAACCAGCCCAATTCAATCAAACACATCACCGAGTGCTCAAACCCATGAGAAGCAACCGCTATCATTTTCTTTTTTTAAAAAATGGCCGTCGCCCCTTGCCGGTTTTCCGTGTTCTGCCGCCCTGAACCCGACCCGTCAAAGCAGAAAGCACCTCCCTCTCTCGTCTACGCCGTCTGCGCAGCGCGGCCGGGTGTCCGGACGCGCACGTTGGCGGCAGCGGAGCTCCACATGGCGGTGAGGTCACGGAGGCGGCGGCGGTTGGCCTCGCCGCTCGCACCGCGGTAAAGGGTCGATCCACTGTGCCGGGACATTCGTGAAACAAGACGTGCATGGCCACTGTGCAGGGACTTTCGCGAATCAAGACTTCAAACATGGGCCATTTTACGACTTGACCCAAGGGTGCATGTGTTGATACACCCCCTGGTTTCAACAGCCCTTCTGGTTCGCCTACAAACACAAGGCGATGGGTGGTCCAAACATTTTGGCCCAAACCCACCAGGTGAAGGGTCCATACCTTTTGACGAGCCGCAACATGTTGCGGATGCCGCAGAAACTCCAAAGAAGCTGACTTGAAATGCACATGGCGTGTGAGAAATACCCACTTCCTGGATATGAAAGTGGGATTCCATCCAACATGACTGCTTGATCACTTTGAAGGGGATTCCCTTGGCTACTCACAGAAAGTGGCCAAAAGACGATTCTCAAAGATCCAAGTTTGGAAACATGATTGAGGAAAGGTGGGTAACTCAGGGCTCCCTGTATTCCTCCATTCAAACATCATGCGACTCAATAGAATCTCACTGATCACTAGCCAAACTGCGGGATGGTGTCTCAAATATGTTGGCGACAATGGTGCGAATTCTGATTCGGAAGCTTTACGCAACCCTCTCAAACCATGTACACAAGGGTTTCGAAGTCTTAGGGTTGTTCCCTAAGCGCTGGGAAGAGAGCAACATTGATGGGAAAAAAGGGTTGGGATTTGGCAAACAAGATGGTAAGGACGTGGGCAAAACATCGTCTTGCCAGACTAATTCAAAAGTGTTTCTTGAAGAAACGCTTAGGGAACACCCCCGAGTCTGGAAGGGTTCCGGGGTTATTTGGCATTTCCCAGATTGGTTCTGCAACCTGAGATTCCCTATCACAGAGCCACCAAATCTCAAAATGGCGGACCCTTTTAGGTCTTTACAAGTCTTTAAAAGGGAAACCAAACGGAAGCCGTTGCCATTTTGGGCACTGCGAACGCACGCGGCCCCAAGCCGGGGCTCCCCAGAGCCCCTCCCGGCGCCTCTGCGAAAGCATCCGAGGGGATGGGCGGCGGCGAAAGCGCCGCCGAGGCGACCTGAGGACGGCGCCGGGCGCGTTTCTTTTGGGAAGGAGGGTGGCTTTTGAAGGGGTGACTTTTTGAAGGGGTTCCTTGGAGAGAGATCTCAAGGTTGGTCCTGAATGTTGGCAGGTATTCGAGGGCGAGCTTTTATCGAATTACTTTGTTCCCAATTTGAAGACAAAAGCCCATATGCCCCAAAGGAACTCTTGATGAGCAATAGGCAATAGGTTGACGTACTTCATCCGACTTAACAAGCTTTCGGCGCTATTAGCCTTGTTTGGCCTTGCGGGAACTCTATGTGGCAACATTTGATCTGACCGAAATATTGCGAGCTCACCGGCGCTGTTTGACACCCCACCCTTTTGGGTCGTTTTTGAGCGAGCACGCATTGTATTTGTCATGCCAGCAAGTGTACCTACCACCAACAAGAGCGATGGGCGAAGAGAATGGGAAGCCTGGTTGTGCTTCTATGAGCGAGGGCTGATCCAAGGTTTTGGCAAATGGTGTGGCTTTGCGTTTGCAAGAAAACCTTCCAACTAACTTGTTTTCTGAGCGCACCTCCCCACTCCACTAGGCTCCCACACCCCATGCTGCTGGCAAACCTGGCGGCGTGTTTGGAGCCCGTGTGGCCCGGCTTTATTGAACTCTAAATGAGCTGATGTAATTAGACCGAGTGATGCAACACCCTGAAAAAGACATGGCGCTTGCATGAATCCAAGTATGAATCTCTGTTCACCAAAGGGTCCAATTCCAACTAAAGTCATACCAAAGTGAAGTGCGCATGGGAGGGGCCGACAACCTGCCCCAGTGTGCATCCCCCTTTTGAATTGTTGCGAAAATCGACGCGATCGCCTCATGAAGCTTGATGATGTCCTCGAGGATCACATTGGGTTCCACGGACTTCCTGCGCGACCAGTTCGACTCGGGATTGATTCCTGTTCTTTGTTCCAAGAGCGGGCAACAAAACCTGCAAAATAAATACAGAGAAATCTGCCGATAGAGAAAACCTGTTCACCCGAAAAACCGGTCCAAGGTAACACTATGGGACAGATCACTTGGGCCGGACCCTTGCAAGTTACTTCTCCTTGATGAACGACATGAAGCATGACCGCCTAGCTGTTGTATCTAGCTGTTGAACCATGTTCAAACAAAGCTCGTGGCCAGAACCCTGATGTACGCCACACTGCAGGTCGTCTCTGAGAACCAATCGAAGAGACACGGATAAGCAAATCCATACTCTCTTGGTGCTTGGGATCTCATGGGCAAGAATGGTAAGATGAGGAAGGTTTGTCTGGCCTCACGTGAGAGATTTCTGTTGTGACAAGGCTAGGTACGGGGTGGTTCACCACAAGGTCCGTACCCCCATTCCTTCTTGCCCCAGTCCCCAGCGTCTTGGACTCAGGAATTGCCCTAAGACGAACAAGTTCAAAATGGTTCAACCTTTGATGGTTACGGGCACGCCGTTTCCCAAGACGTCAAGGCTATCAGCCAAGCTTTCCCGGGTCGCCATCGGAGCGGGATGCCAAGGGCGCCGCCCGATGTCGTTGGTGCCCGTCATCAACAGGACAAGGTCAATCCTGGGAGACGCCCCATGTCAAACAAGAGTCAAACATGGGTTGCTCAGAGATTTCTCAACCAGTAGGACATGGGTTGCCTTGGACTTTGTGTTTGGTGGACAGCTTCGCCAGCTCAGAGCCACAGCTGGACTTGAGCCATCAAGACAAGGACACTGAGGCTTAAAAGAGTTCAGTCCTTTCAGAGGTTCTGAGGCAAACGATGGAGAGACCCCGTTGCCCTCGGCGCAATGGGCTCCGATGCCTGGGGCCCGCGCCGCGGGGATTCCTGCAGGCTCCGGCGCAGGCCCTGAGGCAGAGGGCCCGCGCCGAAAGTGCTCCCAAGACTCTATTTTCCGCACACGAGCGTTCCCTGGGATTCCCGTTTCCAGCCGCGGCAAGGTTTTTCTGAAACTGGTGGATGTGCGGAATCACCCAGTTGCGCATTTCCAGCCAGCAATCCTAGGCACATTGGTTCGTTTTCCAGCTTGGCAAGCGGCGGGTCTGCGGAGGGAATTCATGGTATATGATGAGTAGCCCTAAGCCACGCAAAACGGTAGAGCAAATCCTGTGTGGCTCATCTTGGTAGCTTGCAATGCTCTTTTGTGTGCAAACCAACTGAAGCTCCTCAAGCTTGGAGATTCGTAACCGAACTCCACCAGTCTTGGGTAACTCGCAGCTGTGAGCAGCTTCATGCTCAAAGCCAAGGCCTCAAAGTACATTTTGAGTCGAGCAACATGCACCTCAAGACGCTTCTCTGGAAGAAATCCCCTGAACGAAACATGCCGGAAGAACATCTAAGAACTGTATAACTCTACATTGGAAATCATAGAACACATCGCAAGCCGCCGGAGTGCTTGTCTCTGCCCATTGTCCAATCAGAGCAGTTGCCATGTTGCGAGTCCTTCGCGGGTCAACAGCAACACATAATATCGGTCCCGGGGATCAGCATAAATATCTCGCAGGTCTGAAACAACATGATATGGGCTGGCTCAGACCCATGGAACCCTCAAAAGGCCTCTTGGTGTTTTTTTGGTATCAGAAGAAGAATCCCCCCTAATAAGAACAAATTACTTTCAACATATACGCAAACATATTAGTTCAGCCCCTTCTAGCCCTCCCTGCCAACGATTGTGGTCAATGCGAGCCACTTCCTAGCCTCAAAGAAGTCATCTCAAACAGCAACCGGAGGCTTTGAGCTGAATCCCCTGCGAATCAGCCTTCCCTGAAAGGGACCTGCTCTCGGAAACTACTTTTTGGGTTGGCTTTCACGCGGAAACCAAAAGTTATCATCTTGAAACACCAAAAAGAGGGTCCCAATCACGACACGCCCTCCCGCGCCTTTGCGCACTGATCCCGCGGATCCGCGCCTTTCCTACCTGACCCCCCACGTCCGTGACGGCGCGGGCGTCCAGGTTGGCCACCTCGGCTTCTTTAGACGCATGTCTTTTGAGCCTGGGAAGCTAAAAGAAAAGCTGCCCCAAATCGGGGGCGGGGGGTCCCTTGGTTGTAGAACCTCCGATGAGCACCCCTTTGGTCAATGCTCAACCCTAGGATTTAACACTATGGATTTCCTCTCCGTGGAACTTGCCTGGGGCCACCAAATGCATCTGGACCTTGTGTCCCCATTGCAGGACTCTGCCAGCGGCATCGCTTGCGCCCACTGTGACCCTTTCCCCCAGAGCGTGGGTTGCGTTGACCTGATGTGGCGTCTGTTTTTGGCTCGGCACCGCGTTGGTGCTATTTTTGAGGGAAACCAAAAAGACGGCACCATGTGGTAGCTTGCATTTTCAATTTGGAGACAAACCCCTTTCTCTGACCGTGGCCTCGCCATTCTCCCCAAAAGTTCCTCCTCTTCCTGTCTGCAACCAACTTCCGAAAAGACACCCCACAAATCCTGATCTTCCAAAAATCACCCACAACCAAAGGAACGAACATGGGTGAGTTCTGAAGAAGAAAAAAAAGATCGCAGCAACCTTCTCCAGCCGTACTCGAGGGCCCCGGCCATCTGGGATGCCGTGTGGCCGCTGTGCCCACAAACCAAGACCTGCCAGCGAGGTTTGCCCTTCCGAGCTCAGACCCGAACCCAGGTCTCCTAGATCCGTTTTGCCTGTGCAGTATATAGGTAGCCAAGGGAACCAGCCTTTGAAGACTTCGGGCATAGCGGCTGGTTACTTGGTCTAAACAGTGATCCACTGGGTCAGGTTTTAGATGGGTCAACCCGTGTCAAGTTCTGAAGGTTACCCGAATCGGGCCTTGAACCTGGACAAACACGTCAGCGAGCATCCCAGGCTGTTGCCATGCAAGAACCACAGCGGGGCAAGCCCAAAAGCGCTCAAGCCAAATGAAGGCCAAACCTGACTGCTGTCCGAACACATGTTTTTTTCCAAACCACCACCTGTTCCTCGTGACACTCAGGCCAACAGGGCCGGAGAAGTTCAACTCTTTGCTGGAACACGTTCAAGAACAAAACACGAGAACGCAGACGGTGAGGGTTGGTGGCTAGGATCGGAAACAGCAGCAAAGGAAAGTCCACCTTCGAGCCTACCCCGCTTTGAAATTGTCTTCCCAAAATCCCTAAAGAGCTTCAACATGGGGAAATTGGTTCTTCTGTTCTTAGCAACTACAGTGCAGATTTCTACAAGTGATTCAAACACCGTTCAAGCACCCTCTCTGTGGTGCCCCCAAATCATTGCAAACAAAGCGGGGCTTCTGGAAGAAATCATTGCATCATCGGCAAGAGAGGATCCTCTGAATCTATCTGATCACAACAATTCCCCGACCTGAAATAAGGGATCATCGAGAAAATCATTCCACCAAAAGGTCGCAAACCAAAGACCTCTACAATTTACCCAGATCAATAGAGTTCAGAATGGCCAAAAGTCGGAAAGCCTGCAAAGCCCATCCCTGTTGTTGTAGCCAGCAAAGCTTCCGATCCGCGCACCTCGCAGGGGGTCTGCAGCAGTTGGCCCAAGGCTGTGGCCAGGGTCCGGCCGTAGGGTTCGAACTTCCTGCCCTGCGAATCCGATCCGAGCTCGGAAAAGGTGCGGTTTCTGATCGGTTGAAGCTAAATAAGTTGAGGGGAATATGTTGAAGGGGAACCATAACAGGGCATGGTCCATCCCGTTTATCGAGAGGTTTCACGCATCAGCTTGATAGCAACTCCTACACTATCAACGCAGTGGTGCAGGTCGTTGTTCCGTACTACGGATCTTACGCTGACTCTCAGCTCAAGCAAATAAGTTTGTGTTACATGAAGGGGCACGACTGTGGATCTGTTGAACGAGACTGGGACACCCCTTTTTCAACTCGACGCATTACAAAACATGGCAAAATGGATTTAGAGGAGAGATCAACACAAATCCCACATCTTGCGAGGCCCGATTCTGAGATGCTAGACAGGCTATTGTTAAGCGCTGGGGCCAAACCAATTGTTTGCCAGTGGGCATTCGCCTTGCGGTCTTGGCTTCTGCAGGTCAACGATGAAAAATCCATGTAACACGCACATGTTGCGCTGGGACACTTTCCCAAGGTTGCAAGCAAGCAAGCAAGCAAGCAAGCAAGCAAGCAGGCAAGCAGGCAAGCAGGGACACTGCCCCCCTATATGATCAACCCAAAAACCCAAAGCTGATGAATCAACTTGATCCCACTAAACCCCCTCCACCACCGTTGGTCTCCGGTGGGCATTCCAAGGGAGGACTTGGTTGAAGACCGAGCCTGCTGGCAGAAGCCGGCCGTGAGGCTGTCCCCATAACCTCGGGGCTTCTGCGACAGGCTGGTTTGAACTGTAAGCGAGGCGCTCCAGTCCAGGGCTCCCAAACAATGCACCATTTGGAGGGAAGATGAGGGAAGAGTTCAGATCCCTTTTATCTAGTTTGTCTTGATCCGAAAGATGGAGAGGTGGTAGAAGAAGATCTGAATTATTTCTCAGGGGCATAGTCCCACGGCCAACGGTCCCAAATGAATCAAACCATTTCTTCAAGACGAACAAGTCCCGGTCCTTGTTCTTGGCAATCCTGTCCGATTCATTGGGTTCCCCTAGCAGACATGTTCGCCAAACTTCCAACTCTCATCCATGAACAAAGCACACACCAACAAATCGCCTCACAAAGCATGCACTTCTGATGAGCTCAGCAATGATGTTTGGCATTGAGTTTCTCATCAGGAGAGAGCTGCTTCTTCAGCTTGAACTTGACATTTATCCACAGTAGGCGCTCCCCTGCAAATTGGGCATGGGGCCCAAAAAGGGTCTCTTCTAGGCTCGGCAACCCACACCCCGTGTAAACCAAGCAAGCGCCTTGGGAAGTGCTGCGGGCTCCTCCACACAAGGCCAGATCCCTCCTCCACCCCAGCCCACGTCACGTCACGCGCTCAAACTCCACGCTCCAGCTGGCCTGAAGCGAGCCTAGCCTCGCCCCAGCCCCTAACCCAGCAGGTTTGCCCCACCTTCACCAGCCCCACCCGAGCTCGGCATGAACGTCGCAGCCTTACCCTCAGCTCCAAGTCCCCAAGTTGTCACAACTCTCCAGCCCGCTGCTAGGCGAAGGGCTCAGAATTTCGAAGGCTGACTTGGCCTTCAATGCTTGCGTCAAGACACATTTCAAGGTGTAGGGCCACCACACATTTCCCCAAGCCCACATAGCTCCTGTGGTTCTTTTGAGCCTGGCCGAGGCGGGCAGCGCACAGCGTTCACAACTTTCACGACAGGTGAGCTTGCAAAGCCCAATGTCAGGTCACTGCCCGAGAGTCGAACCCCAGAAGGGCGGGTCAATCGACTCCTTCGAATGAGTCGGAATGGACTGGAGCTATTCCTTCGTCGGCGTCAAACGCTCGCGCCCCTAAGGTTGGAGCAAAGGATGCTGATCTTGGGCGGTCCCTTTGGCGAGGCAGATCGAAAAGCAACCTTGGCACTTGAGTGAAACCGAGGCGATCTGAAGTTGAACATGCATTCAGCTGAAAAAGGTTCGGGGTTCAGAAGACTACTAGTAGGCTGGGATTCCTTGCAACTTGGGAGTTGCTTGTGTTGAGCCACTTTCAAACTGGTGAGTTCACTTAAACCAACCAAGACTCCGCAAGTGCCCAGCCGTCAGCTTTCAGCAAGTGTCCAACCAACCAAAACACAAATCCAAACCCATCAAGCTCACTGAGAAAGGCTCGTAGATGAGGCAGAAAGGTGGAAAGTAAGGAAATCATTGCAGTGTCTCCCATGGCAATTTGTGTTTGCCAGCAGGTCAACTGGGGCGAGCAGTTGACAGTCCATTTGCTCCACGAGCATCAAAACGCTTGGCAGTCAAGGTTAATGAGGAAAACATATTTCCAACATCTGGTCCTACACAAGCGTCTGGCTGCTTGATCTCGGACCGGTGAGGCCGATTCATTTCGTTTGTCTGGATTCGATAAAACCCTGAATGCACTTCTTTGCGATCTCCACACAAGTCGGTCTCTCCGTCTCCCTCTCTCTCTTTGTCTTGCACTCTCCGTGTCTGAACCTCACTGCACAAGGTGCATGCACCTGAATGCCCATCTGCACTTTTGGTGGAATGGTGTGTCTTACATAATTTGAGGCATCCCTTTTTGGGGGGTGGTTTCCAGTTTACAGGAAAATCACAGGGAAACCACCCATTCTGAGGCGAGACCTAGCACACCCATAAACTATCAAGTATTCTTTAGACTCTACACGATCGATGCACATTTGCCGGCAGCCCGTCCAGCACATTCTAACTCAAAGCCACAAATGAGTGAAAGTCAGTAATGACAGTTGGCATGACCGATTCTGCACATGGGTTCAGAGGAAAACCAGGAACGGGAAACCAGCCCTATTGGGAAGAGCCAACACACGCAACTTCGAGAGACAGGAATCCATCTTCTAGCAACTGCCAGCAGAAGCTCATCAAACTGACTTTGCTTGCAAGTGGCTGGCATGTGGCCCAGATTGGGCGTCTGGTTCAGCTGCAGCGGTCGCTCTACTCGGACCTAGCCCGAGCAGACAAGTAAAGAGTCCGTGGCGGTTAGGGGCAATTTCGGTATGAACTTGAATTAGGAAGGCTTTGGTGGGCATCCTTTATGCGTGGTTTATGTCCATCACGTTTTTCCTGAGGGTCTCCCCCATTGAAAACTGAAACTATATTCTCAGGGACCCCAATAATTCGAGACCCAAAGCCTCATTGGCCTCGTGTTTTGCGCCTGCGGATGGAAGTGCAAGCGGCGAGCGGACCGCAAACCTCCCGAGGCAGCGAGCTCCCCCAAGGCGCCGCAAAAACGCTGGCTGAATCCCGGAGTCGCCGGATTTCCCCATCGGAAATTGATCAATTTTCTGGTAGCTTCCAATGAAACCGCCACTTTGGGGCACAACAAATAGAAATTCAGGGACAGGTGTGGTTAAAGGGCATCCGACGGAAAGCGAAAGCCCTTCGAGCAACCTCTATGACTGCATCAAAAAAACCTGCTGCCAGACGGGGGTAAAACATGAGAGCAATGCTCTTGCAGTCATAGCCCAAGCTGTGGTTCTAGCAACTGCCTCTTCGCAAAATATAACAACCACTGCCTCAGAACCAGCATCTGCCAGCTTGCACCGAACCCCACATGCTGCATGTGCAGGAAGACAATCACACACTGCCACTGGCCTCAGGGCAAGCTGAGGTGTGGGACAACGGAGTCCTGCTTTCGCTTCTCTGCGCGCAATGCCGAAGCAGCTCCAATCAACAGCCGCCGACAGGACCCTGGATCGGAAGCCCTTGCGCACCCACAACGCCAATATATAGTTGAGAATCCCTCAACCAGAACTCAACCACAGAAAAACAAACATGTAACAGGCCATCAAGCCATGCACGCAACCCTGCACTAGGTCACTAGATCACTAGGTCACTAGGTCACTTGGCCATGCACAAAGCCCGTGTACTGCATGATCGAGCATCCTGTGTGGCTGCATGAAACCTGCTGCCAGAGGGGGTAAAACACGAGAGCAATGCTCTTGCAGTGTCATGAGTACCCACAGAATGGAGTCATAGCCCAAGCTGTGGTTCTAGCAACTGCCTCTTCGCAGAATATAACAACCACTGCCTCAGAACCAGCATCTGCCAGCTTGCACCGATGTGCAGGAAGACAATCACACACTGCCACTGGCCTCAGGGCAAGCTGAGGTGTGGGACACCGGAGTCCTGCTTCCGCTTCTCTGCGTGCAATGCCGAAGCAGCTCCAATCAACAGGCGCCGACAGGACCCTGGATCGGAAGCCCTTGCGCACCCACAACGCCCATATAGTTGAGAATCCCTCAACCAGAACTCAACCACAGAAAAACAAACATGTAACAGGCCATCAAGCCATGCACGCAACCCTGCACTAGGTCACTAGGTCACTAGGTCACTAGGTCACTTGGCCATGCACAAAGCCCGTGTACTGCATGATCGAGCATCCTGTGTGGCTGCATGAAACCTGCTGCCAGAGGGGGTAAAACATGAGAGCAATGCTCTTGCAGTGTCATGAGTACCCGCAGAATGGAGTCATAGCCCAAGCTGTGGTTCTAGCAACTGCCTCTTCGCAGAATATAACAATCACGGCCTCAGAACCAGCATCTGCCAGCTTGCACCGAACCCCACATGCTGCATGTGCAGGAAGACAATCACACACTGCCACTGGCCTCAGGGCAAGCTGAGGTGTGGGACAACGGAGTCCTGCTTCCGCTTCTCTGCGTGCAATGCCGAAGCAGCTCCAATCAACAGGCGCCGACAGGACCCTGGATCGGAAGCCCTTGCGCACCCACAACGCCCATATAGTTGAGAATCCCTCAACCAGAACTCAACCACAGAAAAACAAACATGTAACAGGCCATCAAGCCATGCACGCAACCCTGCACTAGGTCACTAGGTCACTAGGTCACTTGGCCATGCACAAAGCCCGTGTACTGCATGATCGAGCATCCTGTGTAGCTGCATGAAACCTGCTGCCAGAGGGGGTAAAACATGAGAGCAGTGCTCTTGCAGTGTCATGAGTACCCACAGAATGGAGTCATAGCCCAAGCTGTGGTTCTAGCAACTGCCTCTTCGCAGAATATAACAACCACGGCCTCAGAACCAGCATCTGCCAGCTTGCACCGAACCCCACATGCTGCATGTGCAGGAAGACAATCACACACTGCCACTGGCCTCAGGGCAAGCTGAGGTGTGGGACAACGGAGTCCTGCTTTCGCTTCTCTGCGCGCAATGCCGAAGCAGCTCCAATCAACAGGCGCCGACAGGACCCTGGATCGGAAGCCCTTGCGCACCCACAACGCCCATATAGTTGAGAACTCAACCAGAACTCAACCACAGAAAAACAAACATGTAACAGGCCATCAAGCCATGCACGCAACCCTGCACTAGGTCACTAGGTCACTAGGTCACTAGGTCACTAGGTCACTAGGTCACTAGGTCACTAGGTCACTAGGTCACTAGGTCACTAGGTCACTAGGTCACTAGGTCACTTGGCCATGCACAAAGCCCGTGTACTGCATGATCGAGCATCCTGTGTAGCTGCATGAAACCTGCTGCCAGAGGGGGTAAAACATGAGAGCAGTGCTCTTGCAGTGTCATGAGTACCCACAGAATGGAGTCATAGCCCAAGCTGTGGTTCTAGCAACTGCCTCTTCGCAGAATATAACAACCACTGCCTCAGAACCAGCATCTGCCAGCTTGCACCGAACCCCACATGCTGCATGTGCAGGAAGACAATCACACACTGCCACTGGCCTCAGGGCAAGCTGAGGTGTGGGACAACGGAGTCCTGCTTCCGCTTCTCTGCGTGCAATGCCGAAGCAGCTCCAATCAACAGGCGCCGACAGGACCCTGGATCGGAAGCCCTTGCGCACCCACAACGCCCATATAGTTGAGAATCCCTCAACCAGAACTCAACCACAGAAAAACAAACATGTAACAGGCCATCAAGCCATGCACGCAACCCTGCACTAGGTCACTAGGTCACTAGGTCACTAGGTCACTTGGCCATGCACAAAGCCCGTGTACTGCATGATCGAGCATCCTGTGTGGCTGCATGAAACCTGCTGCCAGAGGGGGTAAAACATGAGAGCAGTGCTCTTGCAGTGTCATGAGTACCCACAGAATGGAGTCATAGCCCAAGCTGTGGTTCTAGCAACTGCCTCTTCGCAGAATATAACAACCACTGCCTTAGAACCAGCATCTGCCAGCTTGCACCGAACCCCACATGCTGCATGTGCAGGAAGACAATCACACACTGCCACTGGCCTCAGGGCAAGCTGAGGTGTGGGACAACGGAGTCCTGCTTTCGCTTCTCTGCGCGCAATGCCGAAGCAGCTCCAATCAACAGGCGCCGACAGGACCCTGGATCGGAAGCCCTTGCGCACCCACAACGCCCATATAGTTGAGAATCCCTCAACCAGAACTCAACCACAGAAAAACAAACATGTAACAGGCCATCAAGCCATGCACGCAACCCTGCACTAGGTCACTAGGTCACTAGGTCACTAGGTCACTAGGTCACTAGGTCACTAGGTCACTAGGTCACTAGGTCACTAGGTCACTTGGCCATGCACAAAGCCCGTGTACTGCATGATCGAGCATCCTGTGTGGCTGCATGAAACCTGCTGCCAGAGGGGGTAAAACATGAGAGCAATGCTTTTGCAGTGTCATGAGTACCCACAGAATGGAGTCATAGCCCAAGCTGTGGTTCTAGCAGCTGCCTCTTCGCAGAATATAACAACCACTGCCTCAGAACCAGTATTTGCCAGCTTGCACCGAACCCCACATGCTGCATGTGCAGGAAGACAATCACACACTGCCACTGGCCTCAGGGCAAGCTCTGCGCGCAATGCCGAAGCAGCTCCAATCAACAGGCGCCGACAGGACCCTGGATCGGAAGCCCTTGCGCACCCACAACGCCCATATAGTTGAGAATCCCTCAACCAGAACTCAACCACAGAAAAACAAACATGTAACAGGCCATCAAGCCATGCACGCAACCCTGCACTAGGTCACTAGGTCACTAGGTCACTAGGTCACTTGGCCATGCACAAAGCCCGTGTACTGCATGATCGAGCATCCTGTGTGGCTGCATGAAACCTGCTGCCAGAGGGGGTAAAACATGAGAGCAATGCTCTTGCAGTGTCATGAGTACCCGCAGAATGGAGTCATAGCCCAAGCTGTGGTTCTAGCAACTGCCTCTTCGCAGAATATAACAATCACGGCCTCAGAACCAGCATCTGCCAGCTTGCACCGAACCCCACATGCTGCATGTGCAGGAAGACAATCACACACTGCCACTGGCCTCAGGGCAAGCTGAGGTGTGGGACAACGGAGTCCTGCTTTCGCTTCTCTGCGCTGCAATGCCGAAGCAGCTCCAATCAACAGGCGCCGACAGGACCCTGGATCGGAAGCCCTTGCGCACCCACAACGCCCATATAGTTGAGAATCCCTCAACCAGAACTCAACCACAGAAAAACAAACATGTAACAGGCCATCAAGCCATGCACGCAACCCTGCACTAGGTCACTAGGTCACTAGGTCACTTGGCCATGCACAAAGCCCGTGTACTGCATGATCGAGCATCCTGTGTGGCTGCATGAAACCTGCTGCCAGAGGGGGTAAAACATGAGAGCAATGCTCTTGCAGTGTCATGAGTACCCGCAGAATGGAGTCATAGCCCAAGCTGTGGTTCTAGCAACTGCCTCTTCGCAGAATATAACAACCACGGCCTCAGAACCAGCATCTGCCAGCTTGCACCGAACCCCACATGCTGCATGTGCATGAAGACAATCACACACTGCCACTGGCCTCAGGGCAAGCTGAGGTGTGGGACAACGGAGTCCTGCTTCCGCTTCTCTGCGTGCAATGCCGAAGCAGCTCCAATCAACAGGCGCCGGCAGGACCCTGGATCGGAAGCCCTTGCGCACCCACAACGCCCATATAGTTGAGAATCCCTCAACCAGAACTCAACCACAGAAAAACAAACATGTAACAGGCCATCAAGCCATGCACGCAACCCTGCACTAGGTCACTAGGTCACTAGGTCACTAGGTCACTTGGCCATGCACAAAGCCCGTGTACTGCATGATCGAGCATCCTGTGTGGCTGCATGAAACCTGCTGCCAGAGGGGGTAAAACATGAGAGCAATGCTCTTGCAGTGTCATGAGTACCCACAGAATGGAGTCATAGCCCAAGCTGTGGTTCTAGCAACTGCCTCTTCGCAGAATATAACAACCACTGCCTCAGAACCAGCATCTGCCAGCTTGCACCGAACCCCACATGCTGCATGTGAAGGGAGACAATCACACACTGCCACTGGCCTCAGGGCAAGCTGAGGTGTGGGACAACGGAGTCCTGCTTTCACTTCTCTGCGCGCAATGCCGAAGCAGCTCCAATCAACAGGCGCCGACAAGACCCTGGATCGGAAGCCCTTGCGCACCCACAACGCCCATATAGTTGAGAATCCCTCAACCAGAACTCAACCACAGAAAAACAAACATGTAACAGGCCATCAAGCCATGCACGCAACCCTGCACTAGGTCACTAGGTCACTAGGTCACTTGGCCATGCACAAAGCCCGTGTACTGCATGATCGAGCATCCTGTGTGGCTGCATGAAACCTGCTGCCAGAGGGGGTAAAACATGAGAGCAATGCTTTTGCAGAGTCATGAGTACCCACAGAATGGAGTCATAGCCCAAGCTGTGGTTCTAGCAACTGCCTCTTCGCAGAATATAACAACCACGGCCTCAGAACCAGCATCTGCCAGCTTGCACCGAACCCCACATGCTGCATGTGCAGGAAGACAATCACACACTGCCACTGGCCTCAGGGCAAGCTGAGGTGTGGGACAACGGAGTCCTGCTTTCGCTTCTCTGCGCGCAATGCCGAAGCAGCTCCAATCAACAGGCGCCGACAGGACCCTGGATCGGAAGCCCTTGCGCACCCACAACGCCCATATAGTTGAGAATCCCTCAACCAGAACTCAACCACAGAAAAACAAACATGTAACAGGCCATCAAGCCATGCACGCAACCCTGCACTAGGTCGCTGGGTCACTAAGTCACTATATCACTTGGCCATGCACAAAGCCCGTGTACTGCATGATCGAGCATCCTGTGTGGCTGCATGAAACCTGCTGCCAGAGGGGGTAAAACATGAGAGCAATGCTCTTGCAGTGTCATGAGTACCCACAGAATGGAGTCATAGCCCAAGCTGTGGTTCTAGCAACTGCCTCTTCGCAGAATATAACAACCACTGCCTCAGAACCAGCATCTGCCAGCTTGCACCGAACCCCACATGCTGCATGTGCAGGAAGACAATCACACACTGCCACTGGCCTCAGGGCAAGCTGAGGTGTGGGACAACTGAGTCCTGCTTTCGCTTCTCTGCGCGCAATGCCGAAGCAGCTCCAATCAACAGGCGCCGACAGGACCCTGGATCGGAAGCCCTTGCGCACCCACAACGCCCATATAGTTTGAGAATCCCTCAACCAGAACTCAACCACAGAAAAACAAACATGTAGCAAACCATCAAGCCATGCACGCAACCCTGCACTAGGTCACTAGGTCACTAGGTCGCTTGGCCATGCACAAAGCCGTGTACTGCATGATCGAGCATCCTGTGTGAAACCTGCTGCCAGAGGGGGTAAAACATGAGAGCAATGCTCTTGCAGTGTCATGAGTACCCACAGAATGGAGTCATAGCCCAAGCTGTGGTTCTAGCAACTGCCTCTGCGCAGAATATAACAACCACGGCCTCAGAACCAGCATCTGCCAGCTTGCACCGAACCCCACATGCTGCATGTGCAGGAAGACAATCACACACTGCCACTGGCCTCAGGGCAAGCTGAGGTGTGGGACAACGGAGTCCTGCTTCCGCTTCTCTGCGTGCAATGCCGAAGCAGCTCCAATCAACAGGCGCCGACAGGACCCTGGATCGGAAGCCCTTGCGCACCCACAACGCCCATATAGTTGAGAATCCCTCAACCAGAACTCAACCACAGAAAAACAAACATGTAACAGGCCATCAAGCCATGCACGCAACCCTGCACTAGGTCAAGGTCACTAGGTCACTAGGTCACTAGGTCACTAGGTCACTTGGCCATGCACAAAGCCCGTGTACTGCATGATCGAGCATCCTGTGTGGCTGCATGAAACCTGCTGCCAGAGGGGGTAAAACATGAGAGCAATGCTCTGCAGTGTCATGAGTACCCACAGAATGGAGTCATAGCCCAAGCTGTGGTTCTAGCAACTGCCTCTTCGCAGAATATAACAACCACGGCCTCAGAACCAGCATCTGCCAGCTTGCACCGAACCCCACATGCTGCATGTGCAGGAAGACAATCACACACTGCCACTGGCCTCAGGGCAAGCTGAGGTGTGGGACAACGGAGTCCTGCTTTCACTTCTCTGCGCGCAATGCCGAAGCAGCTCCAATCAACAGGCGCCGACAGGACCCTGGATCGGAAGCCCTTGCGCACCCACAACGCCCATATAGTTGAGAATCCCTCAACCAGAACTCAACCACAGAAAAACAAACATGTAACAGGCCATCAAGCCATGCACGCAACCCTGCACTAGGTCACTAGGTCACTAGGTCACTTGGCCATGCACAAAGCCCGTGTACTGCATGATCGAGCATCCTGTGTGGCTGCATGAAACCTGCTGCCAGAGGGGGTAAAACATGAGAGCAATGCTCTTGCAGTGTCATGAGTACCCACAGAATGGAGTCATAGCCCAAGCTGTGGTTCTAGCAACTGCCTCTGCGCAGAATATAACAACCACGGCCTCAGAACCAGCATCTGCCAGCTTGCACCGAACCCCACATGCTGCATGTGCAGGAAGACAATCACACACTGCCACTGGCCTCAGGGCAAGCTGAGGTGTGGGACAACGGAGTCCTGCTTCCGCTTCTCTGCGTGCAATGCCGAAGCAGCTCCAATCAACAGGCGCCGACAGGACCCTGGATCGGAAGCCCTTGCGCACCCACAACGCCCATATAGTTGAGAATCCCTCAACCAGAACTCAACCACAGAAAAACAAACATGTAACAGGCCATCAAGCCATGCACGCAACCCTGCACTAGGTCACTAGGTCACTAGGTCCCTTGGCCATGCACAAAGCCCGTGTACTGCATGATCGAGCATCCTGTGTGGCTGCATGAATCCTGCTGCCAGAGAGGGTAAAACATGAGAGCAATGCTTTTGCAGTGTCATGAGTACCCACAGAATGGAGTCATAGCCCAAGCTGTGGTTCTAGCAACTGCCTCTTCGCAGAATATAACAACCACGGCCTCACAACCAGCATCTGCCAGCTTGCACCGAACCCCACATGCTGCATGTGCAGGAAGACAATCACACACTGCCACTGGCCTCAGGGCAAGCTGAGGTGTGGGACAACGGAGTCCTGCTTTCACTTCTCTGCGCGCAATGCCGAAGCAGCTCCAATCAACAGGCGCCGACAAGACCCTGGATCGGAAGCCCTTGCGCACCCACAACGCCCATATAGTTGAGAATCCCTCAACCAGAACTCAACCACAGAAAAACAAACATGTAACAGGCCATCAAGCCATGCACGCAACCCTGCACTAGGTCACTAGGTCACTAGGTCACTAGGTCACTTGGCCATGCACAAAGCCCGTGTACTGCATGATCGAGCATCCTGTGTGGCTGCATGAAACCTGCTGCCAGAGGGGGTAAAACATGAGAGCAATGCTCTTGCAGTGTCATGAGTACCCACAGAATGGAGTCGTAGCCCAAGCTGTGGTTCTAGCAACTGCCTCTTCGCAGAATATAACAACCACGGCCTCACAACCAGCATCTGCCAGCTTGCACCGAACCCCACATGCTGCATGTGCAGGAAGACAATCACACACTGCCTCTCTGTGGGACCCCCTTGAAATATGCGAGAAACGTTGGGTTTGGCCTCAAAAGGGCTCAAGCCGTATGGGCCCAAGCTACCTTGGCAGGGAAACAACGGCAATTCCATTTTGTCTCTCAATCACAACATATATTTGAGGCTGGCCTCACACTTAGGGAAGCTTAAGCAAGCAAATGTCGAAACCGATCCTACCTTTGGTACATGTGTATCACCGAGCAAAGATCCGCCTCTGCATCGATGCTCTCGATGGCCGTGTCCGCTCTCCATGGCCGTCATCCTGTCGAGCGCAGGCGCGCATCTGTAGGCCGTTCGCCCCCGAATGGGTTACCTTGCGAAGGGAAAATCGCTCGGCAGCAGATAGGTAGTTCATGGTGGTTCCCTTGGTCAAAGACTTAACTTAGAGATTGCCTGTAACCCACCTTTTGGTCGCAGCAACGGGCAGACCGTTTGGGCACAAGGAAAACCCAGGGTCAGTCATTCCTTCAAAGTTGATTGGCTTCTGAGGTGTGACTCTTTTGGAGAGTGTCCCTTTGTGGGTTGGTTTCAAAAAACTGAAAGGGAAACTGAGGATTTTGGGGAATCTCCTATTTGGAGACAAATCCGAAATAGTACGTGTCCTTAGATTCTCTGCTCAATCATCCAACAAATGGGGCTTAGTGAAAAGTTGCTCAAGGTGGATAAAGCCTCTAAACCAAAGGGGGAGTCCATGATTTCAAATAGATGGCAAGGCACTCGAATCAAATGATAGATCCTTTGGTTTCTTCTGATATCTTTAAAGTGCTGCGATGGGTTCAAGCTTGATCACGGCAAACATGCAATTGGTCGTGCTGTTGCCTACAAGATGCTTGCTCATGGCGAGTAGATCATGCACGTTTTGGGGAGTGTCTCACAATAAGGGACCCGTCGTGTGGTTTAGCCCAGCTTCTGTGCGTTTGCACAACTGCTGGCTGTGGCGCTCCTGCACGTTGGAAGGACGCTTCGGGCACCATGGGCATGCTTCTCCTCAGCGCAGAAGTCAATTCAGGTGCCAAAAAGATTGGCGGGGCCCCATGCGTTTTCACGCCAAGGCTCTCCCGAATGCTTCAGCATGGTGGGATACGGCACCAGTACCATCGCCATGGCGAGGCGAGTCCTGCGGAGAGGCTGCCCAACTCCAGGGGAGGCCGGTCCAATGGGTCCCTTGTGAAGCTCGCGTGGGTTTCCTCGTTGGCCCGCAAAGGAGCATTGGTCAAAGGAACCCCAAAGGACAAATCAATCATTGAATCACACAAAATCCATAGGGCACAACCAGATAGGGGAGACGGCATGGCAAGAAAACAACAACACCATGTGCCGTTAATCCACAAGGCAAAGAAGCGAAAACACATGACCCAGGCACCCCAAGCCCCACGAGAGGCGGGTACAATCTGATGCACCTATGGGTGTCCATCTTGTGGGGGAACCTGCTGTTGTTTGAGTGTTGCGGGAAACCAAAAGCAAACCAAGCTTCTTTGTCTTGTTTTGGGCGGGGGTCTCCTCATTTTGAGACAACACCTTCAAGGGTAATGGAGATTCAAATGTTTCGAGGTGGTAGGATCGATTGCCGTGAATCCAGGCCTCCTTTTCGGAAGTGCAGAGAAGGGGTGAAACGCATGGCTTCAACTTTTTCTGGTTGATCTCCTGTGCATGTCCCGTGAACAGCATCCCACGTGCTAGCCCGAAAAATATTACGTTGAATTGCATAGGCTAGAGCTATCATAACACCAGAAAGCACAGGCCTTTCGTCTCAAAAATGAGATTCACCCCTGATGTCAGCTTCAGGCCAGAGAAACTACCACGTGGCCCCGACTCATCATGTCAGGGATCTTGCAAAATCTGCTCTCACAGTCAGCACGAATGTTTCCTACTGAATACAATTCTGAATGATTGGACATTCGATCTGTGTTCCCCTTCATCGTGGGTGAAGTTCTTGCAAACCAAACTCTGAATTGCCCAAATACCATGACACTTCACATGTGTCTGTCTCAAAAAAGGGGAAGTCGCCAAATGTTTGATCTCCTGTTGATTTCGCTCTAACAGCAACCAAAAGCCACCTCCGCCCCCCGGGCCAAAAAACAAAGAGACCCATATACATACTCGGAACTTCCTATAAGTTCGATTTGTTCTCCATTTCCGTGGGAAACTGCTTTTTCAGGGAAGGTCATCATAGTTCTTCCATGGGCCCATTTTCCTGAATCTTGTCATTTTGGCTGTATGCAACAAACTGGCAGGAGGTGTTTTCCCCGATACAACGGCATTGTTCCTCGACGCAAAGGAGTTTTGGCAGAACCCTGTTCTATATGGCACGTGTCCCAAAGGCGCTTGTTGAAGGGAATGGCGATTTTTGATGAAAACAACTGAAATGTTTGTAGTCTTGGCAAAAAGTGCAAATTCTCGACTTTCTAGGTGTACATATATATATATACACATAATATATATATATATATGTATATATATATATATATATATGTCTCAGAAACCCAACCCCCTAGGTTCCCTCAAATTGAGACACGCCCATATGGGTGTTTCTCAAAGAGAGATGCTAAAGGAGTTCCCCTTCAAGATCTTTCCCGATCAAAAGAGTGTCCACTAATGAGCGACTCCGTCGAGTTTCGAATGAGAATCTATCTCACCCTCCGAGCCCAGTCCTTTGAGTTGCCGCGCTTTTCGCCCCCCGTTTCTGCTAGAGCCTACCTGCGGCACCTCAAACTCACGGCAACCTCTTTTTGCTGAGAAAGGTGGATGTGTAGGGTATCCTTGGGTTTTAACAAGAAATCAGGGAAGTGGGACATGTGGGCTTCCTCAAATGGAAACTCCCGAAGTGGTTGACTTCCCCCTTGCTGTCCCTCTAATTTAACACCAAAAAGGATCAAACCGGTCAACCCATAACCCATAAAGGCAAAGCTTCATCACTGAAAACGGTCAGGAACTCACTCTCTGATGCTTGTTCAAGCACGACCATTCTGCAGTGCGCAGGGCGCACCCCTCCAGTGCCCAGAGGGTTGGCAGCGTTCACGTCCTTGAGAAAGTGCCTTAGGAAGCAAACGAAAGGCCCCTCGAATTACGTTACTGGCCTTCTGTCAAAGGGGTTCTTAGAGGGGTTCTCCAGACCTTGCTAGGGGTGCCATGATGCGGTCCGATTCTGTCACTTCTGGTGGCACGTCGAAGCCGCTGAAGAGTGCATTGGACACCCCAAGGCCACCTCTCAGCGGATTGTCTATGGATTGCCTTGTGGCATTGGGACCTGTCCCATTTTCCAAGGTCCCCTTAGAGACAAACCAAATTTATCCAGTATCTCAGCACCCTGCAGCCCCGCAAGAATTGCGATTCGGGTTTGTTGGGGTACAAATGTCTTTCTTTCGGAAGTGAAGCAGCAGAATGCCGCTGCTGCCTTCAGATCAGCCAACATCATACTTCAACAGGGGTCCTTGCACCTGTACCTGCTTGGGCTATCTAACATCACCCCATCCCACTTGGACCCTTGCGTGAGGGAAGTGATTGGCTGCCCCCCTTTTACCTCCGGTTACTCTTCTGCGAACTGCAACTACGGGTAGGAACAGTTTAGCTAGCCCACAGATAATCGATTGACTTAAACTCTATCAAGAAGCAGGCATTGGCTTCCATGGGCTTCCATTGGCTTCCATTGGCTTCCATTGGCTTCCATTGGCTGGTGGCTTGGCGATGAATCCATTGAAACAATGACTACCACTTCCGCCTCACATCTATGGGCTGGAGCAATTCGATTTCATCCAGCTATTTGGTGAGAGAAGGATTCAGGCAAGCAATTCAATCCTCAAGAAACACACTTGCTTCTTCTTCTTCTTCTTCTTCTTCTTCTTCTTCTTCTTCTTCTTCTTCTTCTCCTGCTTCTTCTTCTTCTCCCTTCTCCCCATGCCACCTGTGCCCCTTGGGCCCCCTGGCCCCTTCAAGAAGAACTGTGCCAGCAACGGTGCGTGCGCCAACGACTGTAGTGTTGCATTCAGGAAGCACCTGCTTCCCCCCCCCCCTGGCCCCAGAACGGGTGGTGGGCAAGAAATGGGAATGCCTTTTTGTGCAGGTGCCATTTGCTTGGGTTCTTCGAAATGGAACTCAAAGGAATCCCCTCCCCCCTCCACGTTTTGAGACCATCCCTTTTGAGGCGGGCGTTGCTTGTAAACGCGGAAGCTTCCTTTGCAAGAAAGCAGCTGAGATCTTCAAACCTGAAACGGGATCATGAACCATGGACAGGGGGTGTCTTAAAGGGGGCGTCTGACTCGGAATACGTGCGTGATGCCTACAGGCTGCAGGACAAAACAGCAACGTTCAAAACTCTGCCAGGAGCCGACACATTCGTTCCAATGGCCATTGCGGGCGCATCTCTACTCAGGTTGTCTAGTCTTGACTCTATGAGAAAAACCAGCTTCAAACCGAGGCAAAAGTTAAGTTAGGTATTGTGGCAGCAATCATTCCGTATGTGTGTAGGGTAGATGCCCTCCCGGTCTTCATTCACTCACTAAAACGCACACACACACACATGAACACGCAAACAAAAACAGAGAGAGAGAGAGACACACACACACACACAAAGGCGCACAAGCACAGAAACACGAGACACACAGAGACAGAATCAGACACAGACACAAACGCAGACACGGGACACAGACGCAAACGCAGCCACTGACACAGACGCAGACACGGGACACAGACACAGACACAGACGCGCACACACAGACACACACACACAAAACAAAGAGAGAGAGAGAAAGAAAGAGAAAGACAGACACGCACGCGCGCTCGCACTCACGCACTCACTCACTCACGCACGCACGCAAGCACGCACGCACGCACATTTGCAGGTACGCGTGTATGCACATCTAAAGACCAAGGTGAAGCATCCATTTGCGCACCCAGTATTGTTGGGGATGCACCTGCTGAGGTTCCCAAGCAATGACTAATGACTAAGGGACTTGACATTTATATGTACATAAATTCCTGCAATGCAATTGGAACGTTGTTGGCTTAGGCCACAGCACACTGACATTCAATCCACCCACAGTGCGCAAAGAAATCGACGCCGGCGGCGCGTGTTGCCCAGATTGCACAGCCCCACTGGAGCTGACCTGGCAAAGCCGGTCGGCAGCTTGCGCGAGTCATCCTTTAGAGCGTTCTCAAGGGTACAAACCAATCCGCATCCCAATGAAGGCCATCCGCTGCGAGTTACCCTGCTTTGGAATGCGTAGTTTCCTACATTGACCCCGGGCTCCACGACTCTGCCTCCCAAGATCTCCCATTTGCCGGTGGGCTTCAAAACGCACGTTGCGCAATCACAGGCGACTTAGAAACGTTCAAGGCGGGCAGGATGTGGGGAGGGCCTCTCCAAACAATCATACCACCACGGGGCTCGCCTTTGCACACGGGGCCAGGAGTGCTTTTTCATCTGCGCGTGAATTCGGAAACTATATTTCCACGCGGCAAGGCTTTGCAGCAGCCTGCCTCCTAAAACGAAACAACCGAGCTATAGGTAGGGTTGCGACCCTAAGCGTGCTCGGTTCGTGCTCAATTGGTGCTCTGCTTGGGTTGTGCTCAGGCGGCGCTCTGCTTGGGAGGCTCGTGTTTGGTTCGTGCCCGGTTCCGCCCGGTTCGTGCCCGGTTCGTGCCCGGTTCGTGCCCGGTTCGCGCACGGTTCGTGCACGGATCGCGCACGGATCGCGCACGGATCGCGCACGGATCGTGCCCGGTTCGTGCCCGGTTTGCCTGGCTCGTGCCCGGCTCGCGCTCGGTTCGCGCACGGATCGCGCACGTAATGCGCACGGATCGCGCACGGATCGTGCCCGGTTCGTGCCCGGTTCGTGCCCGGTTCGTGCCAGGCTCATGCCCGGTTCGTGCTCGGTTCGTGCCCGGTTCGTGCCCGGTTCGTGCCCGGTTCGCGTCCGGTTTCGTGCCCGGTTCGCGCCCGGTTCGTGCCCGGTTCGTGCGCGGGTCGTGCACGGATCGCGCCCGGTTCATGCCTGGTTCGTGCCCGGTTAACGTGCCCGGTTCGTGCCCGGTTCGTGCCCGGTTCGCGCCCAGTTCGTGCACGGTTCGTGCCCGGTTCGTGCCCGGTTCGCGCCCAGTTCGCGCACGGTTCGCGCACGGTTCGCGCCCGGTTCGTGATCGTGCACGGATCGCGCACGGATCGTGCCCGGCGAACGGCTTCCCCATAGCAATAGATGGGGTGCCCCCCCTTCCCCCCTTTTAATCAATATTCCCTGGGCAAAAAACCTATCGATTGGGTACCACAAGGGCGCTGCAGGGTGCCACTTTGGCCCTCGGCCAAATGGGCCCCGCTCTTCCCCAGGCACAAACGCCTTAAACAGCAAAATGTCCACTAGCGATTTAAAAGAACACCGCTCAAGGCAGTTTGTTGATATTGAACTTGAACAAACTAAATCGGCGCAGTTCAATCTGATTTGCTCACTCTAGATTTGAATTTGCAATTTGATAATTCAAGCGTGAATGCAATTGCGTAAGTCAAACCTGGTTTGGAGAGCCCCCTAATAAGTTCAGAGGGGTCCGCGAAAAACAAGTTAATGATGGGGCGCATTCTTGATAGGGGGAAGTAATTGGCAGCTCAGCCTAGAGCCTTTGAGAAATCTGGCGTGTTACAGAAAACGCCGCGATCCGGCAACCACCTGCCCCCCACCCCCCTTCCTTTGTTATAACAACCCCAATGAAAAACAATGGACACACGTGGACTCAGAATTGAGACTAGGGAGGGGGGGGGGCAACTCCAGAAATCACGGCGTTTTCTGCAACACCTCAGCATTGCGTATCTTGAGTCGGGCGCTGTTTGTAAGATTGTTGTGGGGAGCCTGTTTAACTCAGTGTCCCGGAAAACACAAAGTTTGGTTGTTAGTTTCACGCTAAATGCGTCTGCGCCCATGTGCTTGGAGCTGGGCGGCCATAGCAAATATATCTGTGTAGGGCTTTTCAATTCCAAGGCTGGGGGTGGCAACTTGGCTTTGCGGCGATAGTGTTTGGCGGCGTTCCTTTTTGGCGCTTAGAAGCACCAGCCACTGGCCAAATAAGAGGCAACAAGGCCCACGGAAACCACAAGGGCAAGAGAATAGACGCCCAAGCAGAAGAAGCATTCCGGAGCCCATAATCGCCGAGCAGACCCGCAAAAGCTGAGCTGCGCGGCGCTTTCACCTTTGGCTGTTCAACGTAGGGCTTGAAATCACGCATTTGAGAAGGCATGCCTGTTTGAGCTAGCCCAAAACAGAAACTCTCAGAGCGCTACGTGCTTCCAAAGCTTTGTCAGGTCCAACCATGCATCAAAAGCTTCTTGCTGCGCGTAGCAACGCAAAATATCAGCTGCAATAGAACTACAAATCTATCATGCCTGGAAAGCCCAGGGCGCCACTGATAGAAGTTAAACAAACGCGTTTGGTGCCCAAAAACGTCGTTGCAGCAATTCGTGAATATTCAAGAACCTGTGTGAACCGTTTGATTGCCAAAAAACGCCGTTGGCAAACTTAGTTGACCAGCTTGACCGTGGCAAAACGTCGTTATTCCACCAAAAACGCCTGACATTTTACACTCTTTGGGATACATGCAGGCATTCTGTGACAAACCTTCTGACTTCACTGCCATGCTACACAAAACCACGCATCTTTGGAAAGCTCTCTGAAGGCCGTCTCGCACACTATGGCTTTGCATTGCCCGCGCTTACCTGCAAAACAAAACATTGGCCTGTGCGCAAACAAAAAAGCACTCGGGGGTCTGTGATGCCCAGTGCAAAGGCAAGCCCCGCACCACCTGGGATTGGGATTCAGCTCCGCAGGGCACTTCATGGCCCAAGCTGTCAGAAGCGTTGAGCAGGATGTTTCAACACAGGATCGTAAAGATCTATGAGTCCTAGCAGCAAGCAGTTGCAATTCAGAAGCGCAAATTCAAGCAGCATGGGGACAAAAGAAAGCTGCTTGTCGCTCGCCAGTGCAGCGAATGCAGTAAAACCTCACAAGTGGTTGCGGCACATATATAGTAGCGAGTGCCCATCTGGGCAGTACTTGAAGCCGTTTACTACATATCTTCGTTGGAGCCGAACAACCTTGGGTCAATTCGCAGATCGCCCAGAAACATAGATCATAGAACCAACACCACCAGGCTTCCATGGCACTATGGCAAAGCATGAGCTGCGGACAACACATGGCCTTGCCCCAACTTGGATTCCGGCCTGACCGCAGATTTGTGAGGGTTGCTTTGCGCCCGCCTACAGCTCCCAGACCAAGCATTGACATCTGCAACAAGATTGGTAGTTTCATTTTGTGGCATAAAATAACAAGACGCGTTGGGCGTCTAGGAGGGTCTTCTTTCATGCATGCGTGGCTACAAGCGTGCCCGGGGATGCATCGGCGATGATTCCTGGCAGATGTGAGGCTCGCTCGGCGTCTGGTCCAACAAAAAGACTATGTTTCGCCCATAGACAAGTGTTTTGCCTTTTCACACACATCCATCTGAATGAGTCTAAAATCGTGTAAAAGCAACTAAGTTGATATACCAGGAAGGTACCTTCTCGAAGTGTAAAACAAGAAACTCTGAGGTTCGGAACACCGCATGAGTATGCTGATCCCACGAAACAACTGGAACTCGAACAAAGCCGCGTCAAATAATCTTAGCAAGTGACGCGTGACAAGCCAAGGCGCTGGAGCAGCCGCAGAGTTCCGCTTTCTGGTCAGCCCAAAAAGACTGAAACCCAGGGGTGCCATAACTGGACGCAAAACTGCCCAACCGCAATAGGGGCTACTAGAGCCTAAGAGGGCCTCATAGCTGAATAGCACCGAATACTGCTCCTTTTGCGTCCAAGAGGAGCACAATGTGTTTTCGCTGGCAGGTGGCGCCACAAGCAGAAGAACATCACTCAATGTTGGGGATGCATCTGGTTTTGGGCGGGCTTCAAGCGCATAAGCAGAACGTGTGGCCGGGCGAACCAGCAACCCCCTAGCATTGCGAGTCACGGCGCCGATCACGTCCGCAGCAGCAAAGGAAAATTCGTAGTCGGGACCAACGTGTCGCACGTCTTGTCAGAAGACCCTTGTTTTCACGAAAAGGCTTTTCTTGTAACATTGCCTGCTTGCCAAGGAAGGGATTTGAGGAATTTGGGGACAAGCTCTTCCTCTGGACCCGCTGTCTGCTTGAGCATGCGCGTGTGGGGCCCCGCCCCCCCCCCACCCCCCGTTTTCCGGGAACAGCAACAGCAACAACAACAGCAACAGCAGCTACATGCATAAATGCATGTTCATCGAGTGCCAAGCCAACTAACATGGAACCCCCAAAAAGGCACATAATAGGAAATTCGTGTTCTACGGCCTCCAAGCAGATTCCATCTTAATGGGCGGCAGCGTAGAGGCCCCGCAGCTCGTGTTCACGGCATTTTGAGGGCCCAAACAATTCTACCCATGAGTGGTCTGCGATCATGAGGCGATTTGGTTCAACAGTACTTTTCCATTCCAACATTTTAGGCAGGGTTCACTTCCACCCACCCGCCTCTCCATCACGCGGCTCCGAGGCATCCCTGGGCGCCCGTGAAGCTGCGAAACTCTCGCTTTAGCTCGGCCCTATGAATCCACCGGGGTCACCAGGGTGGAAACCCGGAATTTGGCAACCAAGCAGACGATGTTTGAAACCACAAGAAAATGCTAGAGCCCTTGAGTTAACGGTGACACCCAACCACAGAATCACGTAAGTCCCGAGAAGTTTGATGTCCACCAAGCCGCGTCCCCCAGAAGTGATGCCCACTGGGTGCACCTCCTGCACTGAAAAAAAAGGAAGATGCTGCCAGGTGCCGTCTTTCCAATGGAATTCGACAGGCCTTTTCAAGTCCAAAACCTTTTTGTCAGCTTCCAAAGAAACACGAAGACCTTGTTCTAAGGCGTCAATGCTGGGGCGCATGCCTCGAGTAGCTGTCCGCCCTGCGGCCCCAGGTGTGGAGCACAAAATGTCTTGGGTCCAAAGACCAACGCCCAGCCCGAAATCACAGCTGCAAACAGTCGGCTTTGTCAGCTTGTTTCGGAATATTGAACGGAAAAGCTGAAGTCATACCACATTGCAGAGCTTGCGACATTGCGAGATCTTGTGCAAGTTTTGCGCCCCTCACAAAGCAATGTTGGTGTTTCTTTGACAACTACCAACCTCTGCGTGTTGCTACCTGCAGCAAGGCACAGTGAACTCTGGCCTCTCCGCCCTCAAACAAGTCAAAGATATAGGTGTATAGTTGTATCAGATGGGCCTCTTTCCGTGATACCAAAGCGGGATTCCCATCCAACCATGCCATTGGGCTGTTGACAGAAATGGCAACCTCAAACCAGATTCATGGCTTTTCACAAGCCAAATCCACAAACTTTATGAGGTCCCGGCTCCATTCGCCCAGACCCATGGTGCCACAAACGCCACGGAGCCTTTTTCCAACGGCGCCGGCCGAGTCGTGCAGCCGCGCGGCGCGATTCAGTGGGCGAAAGCGGTTCGCTCGGCACGGGGACTTCGGCTTGCCGCGCTGAAGGAAGGGCTCAAGTCACATGTGGGGCTCATGAGCTCATGTATCATAATATAACTGTATACATGTACGCATACACATATCTCTTACATGCATTTGCAAGTACAGTTGGGAAGCGAACCCAAGTTGATGCTTGGCGATCGATTCCTGCTTGTTGCCATGTGCCTGCCGCTTCTGGTCAAACTTGCTCAGTATCAAGACGGCTGACCATGGCACTCGCTGGCACCTCTGCAACTTGCTGCTGGCTGTTCAAAAAGGAACCTGCGAACACTCCTAACCATTTGCCAAGGCGATGCCCTTTAGGGAATGGTCGTGGGTCTGTCCACAAACTGCTGAGCAACAGCCAATCAGCCCCTACCCCATTCATGAATATGATTCAGCCCCAGGCGGAGATCTTTATTGGGGGGCCGTGCTTATTTCGGGGGGGGAGTGATTCATCCTGTGGCTTGACAGAAAGGGCGTTGTGATCTGTGCACCTCCGAGGGTTGATCAAGCTGCTCCTTCCGTCTGAGGTCTCACCCCGTGTTTGGTCTCAAGATTGGCCCAAAGATTGTCAGTTCTCATGGCTTCCCAAGCACCTGGAAGACTTCACAAGCCTAAAGCAAATGAAGCAAAGCATCTCCATGTTTGGGGTATCGATGTGGCTCCTGGGTAGCTCTTGCGTAGCTAGTGAATGCGCCTGGGTCATGCGCCCGATGGAACTCACGGTCTGGCAAGCCACCAGCATCCTCTAACAGCCCGAAGTCAGCCTTTGGTCAAAAGGGCTCTAGGTGAAACAAATGGGTTCTTTCCTTGCAATGGGAGATCAATCACCAAGCTCGTTCATTGTCTAGCTGAAATCCACGGGGCTTTCTTGGTCCCTCGGAAGGTACAGCTCCGGAGTCTCACAAGCGAAGCCAAGTTCAGCGAAGGCCGGTCGAGCACGACTGGACCCCAGGAGTGCTACCCGGCTGATGTTGAAACATGCAACGAGAGGCCAGTGTTGCCATAAACGGCCCCTAGGTCACTGCCCCAGTGGATCTGAGAACCCACCTCAACAAAGGACCAGCCGTTTGCACTCTCAGGATTTCGAGGGGCGAAAGCTGGGCGCTACTTGCAACGGCACCGGTGCTTCTCCTGGTAGCACTTGTAGCAGCGCAAGCCAGTCCTGACCTAAGCACCAGGACTTCAGTGCTGCGCCTGAAATGTTTGCCCTACTGCCTCTGCTTGCATTGCCTGCATACCATCCATCATCTGACAGATGCTGCCGCACCTCAACTGCTTCGTGGCATGTCACAATTGTCAAAGGCTCCTGCCGAAGGAATCGAACATCTGAACGCCTCCGACTGAAAGTCAGTTTAAAGGCTCACCCAAATAAATGGATGATAATTGTACTTGTAAAGTAAGGACCGCAAAGCTGCCCCTTGCCCATCTTGGACGCTCCAGCCCCCATGAGAAACGCCTGCAAAAAAGAAGCAGCCCCGGGCCCATGCTGTAAGGAGGCTTCTACCTGCATTCTCCACAGGAGCAACCAGAAACTTGCTCCACTTATGTGTTCCAAGTAGCCTAACACAAAGGTGTTGCCCTTTGGCCCCCATTTACCGCCCGAGGGATTCCTGCTGGCCAACAGAAACTTGCATTTGGCCTCTCAAGACTCAGAACTCCCGATGGGGACAGCAAGCTGGTGTGCAGAGTTTTGTGGCCGGCATTCTTGCAAGTCAAGGTGTGGCACTTCTGGTGCAGCATCCAACTGCCTGGATATGCTACACTGGTGTGGATCCTTTGGCCAAAGCCTGCGAGCTTCATCCCACCTAGTTTATGGGAGCAAGTCAGGGAGCGAGCCTCTTCAAGACAATGGCTATCACTTGCTGACTGAGACTAGTTTGAAACCGCGTGTTGGTTATGCTCACTTGATAACCTAGTGCAACATCGGCATGGGGCCACCAAAGACTGAGCAGGTTCAAAGACCTACGTGCAGCAGCAACAGATATACAACATGTGGTCAGCTTGGCCACCAACCCAGGGAGCAAACCAATAGGATCAGAAAAACCAAACTGCCCAAGCTCCGAAACGTCACGACAGCACAAACACACAGCAATGTCGAGAGCGATCGCAGCAAGTCCATCCAAACAGAACGGGCGTATTGAAACAAACATTGCATTGGATGGGATGAAGTGTGAGTGTGTCAGTATGTGCTTGTGTTTGGGTTGCAAGGGAGTAGGGGGGGTGGGTTCCATTTTTATCAACCCAAGTAGGGTACCGAACCCCAAAAGGGATGCCCGTTTTACGACCCATTCGGTGTTCACACGCGATGCCCAGACCCTCCCATGAGGATCCCACCGCCATCTTGGCGCAAGCCCTGCCAAAATTCGAGGGTCAAATGAGCGGACCCTCAGAATTGGTGACGCGTTTGCCATGTTGAATGGATTTTGAGATATCACATACCGCGTAGCTTACCCTGATCCAAGGAATTTGAGGTGATGTCAAATGGAGTGGCCTAGCCAAATTTGATGGAGTTTAAGATATGCCTTGCAGGTGACCCGAATGTTGAATGGGCCAGGTGCCCACTCTAGGTGACACTAGTAGCCAAGTTGAATGAAGGTTGACCCATGTTATACCGTGTACCGTGTAGGTAAGCCAAATGTTGAATGCGGTGACCCATGCAGGTGACCCTTGCCATGTTGCATGGAGTTTGCGTGGACCCATCCCATTAGTAGATACAGAATGGGTACACAACTGATGGATCCATGACCAAGGCTTGCCTCCTACAGTCCACCAAAAATGCGACTGAAATGTGCCGCGAGAGCTGACGAAGTTGTGACGTTTGAACTGAACTCTCGTAAACTCCCTGGCACACGTGCGCCACACTTGCGTACAAACAAGGCATCACTTTCAACGAAGACTGATATCAAACATTTGGTTCTGCGAGGTTCACCACTGCAACAAAGTGGGGCCAGGTGGTTGGATAAGCCTCTTTGACCATCGTGCAATCCCGGAAGTTCAGGGAAGGATAAATTCCTTCTCTTGGCCATTGTTGCGAAGCCAGAAACAACAAAGCCATGCCCAATCTATAGCCATCATGCTCAGAACGTCTGCGTATTCCGAACATAGCGACTCGTTGGGCCTGGTAATAAGCGCAGAGAGCGTCGTTGGAAAAATGCATGCAAAATCAACTGCCCAATACAATGGCACTGACGCTGTGCAGTCCATGCTCTATTGCCTACACAACCATCAAATCATCCTTGACAATGCAGCACCAGCGATCAAGGGTTTCCCAGCCCTATGTTGGCATGAGCCTCATAGCCTGAGCTTGCATTCGCTGTCAGCGATTCGCACACAGAAACAAGTTGTCTTGGTTGAAGTGAGGAACCCGAAGAACGGCTCCTTCCGCCTGCATTCAGTCGCAACTCCCCTCCCCAAGTCAATATAATATGCCAGAATAGGTGCTTCCAGGCAGATCATCACTATGATTAAAATTTTCCCATTCGGGGTGACACGACCCAAAGAAAAGCCGAGGCAGCCACGGCCAAGCGGGCCTCCCCAATGCCGGAGCTGGCCGGCCGGGCTGCAAGCGGCCATAGCCCGAAGCACCTGCGGTCGCGGAGGCCGTTCTTCATAGTTTTTGCAAAGGCATCGATCTTCAGCGGAAGCCTGAAACCAATGGTTCGTAAGGCACACTCCATAGGGAACAGCTTCCTGGACCTCACTGTCCGTGGAGTCCAGACAAACGTGCCTCATGACTTGGAGTCCATTCCATGAGATTGGACCGACTGATGAGAAACAAAAAAACAAGAATGCGGTTGGCAAAACCCAAAGTTGTTCTCAGAGGTTTTGTTTGGTTTTCTTGTTTTTTTGTTTTTTTGTTTTTGGTGATTTCAAAATGCTCCCTAAAAGTGAAAAGCATCGAGTTGTTTGGTGTTTACTCCAAAAACTAAAACTCACGGAAAACACTGAAAGCTTAGCTTTTTCGTTTTCTCGAGTTGCTGTTTGCTGTTTGCAATCTTATTGTTTATGGTTAATGTCTAAACATGTTTTAAGTGAATCACAAAAAAATAACAAAATGATGACGTTGATCAACAGCAATTGGACTTTGATTGCATGAATAAGGGCCGAATCGAATTAGATGTTCTAAGTTACCTTGGAATTCAACACCTGGCTTTAAAAACCTGAGTGAAGCTGTTGTAGAGCTTCATTGAATGCTCCTTAAACAGCTCCTCAAAACTCTCCTTGTAAGGCTCATTCTAAAGCTGTTTATAAGGCTAGGCTCCTTATAAAGCTGCGAGTAAGATTGAGATGAAGATTCTTATTCAGCTCTTTTTAAGGCTCCTTCATGAAAAGACTCCGTATCACACTCTTTGTACGATTCCTGAAGCTGTAAAGCTCCGTGGAAGCTCACTTCTGATGAAGCTCCTCACAAAGCTCTTTCTAAAGCTCCCTACACAGCTCCGTATAAAGCTCCTTACATCTGAAGCGTTCGTCACCCCGTCACCCCGTCACTCCGCCGGGTCGCCTTCAGAGGAAGAGTCATCTCCGTCCTGCGGTCTCAAACGGGGACATGGATTGCAAGCCAAACGAAAAGGTACCCTTCCATGGTGTTGGTGTTGGTCACTTGCCACTTGGTTCGGCACCACTTTGGCATCCGAGCACCCCCCCCCCCTCGGTGTTTTGCAGGAAACCATGATGGGCGGTTTCCTTTTGGAGTCCCTTTCCACCAACCTGAAACAAAAGGTTAGAGCCGCAAAACAGTACAAACCCACAGGTTGCTAAATCCCATCCTTGGCCGCATCGCTGTCGGAGTCGGAGCTGCTGGAACTGCCTCGGCTGCCGAAGCCGCGTTGGGGGCTGGGGTTTGGAGGGCTTGGGTGCATTCCGCTTTGCCCTTCCCCCCAGGCCTGCGAAATGCTTGGAAACAAACTGAAACAAGCAGGTTGCAAAAGGACACCTATGCTGAGTTCAGTCTGGGCTGAATGGGAATATGCCAAACGATAGAACAAACCCTGAGTTCCAAGACGCTTTGCACACCACCAAGTGAGTCTTTGCCAGGATCAACGTCAAATCAAAATTGCCTGCAATGACTTCCTTGCCCAAAAGATCTGGAGGAGCAAAAACAGTTAGCCCTTTGCGGGGTTCGCATGCGTAAATGTACATCAAACGGAGAAAACTTCAAGGTCTCCGGAAAGTTGGCCTTGGGCTACAGTGTCAATAGCGGCAGCAGTGCCACCATATGCCATTGTTTGCTGTGTTTCTCGACATTGGGGGGCCAACGCTTTAGTTCCCGTTGATCACCCTTTAGGAGAACTCTTGAAGCAGGTACCCTCAAACAATGATGCCCAGGCGAGTATATCTCCTAAGCCTCAACAGCCACTTGACCCGTGCAATCTGCACTTTGTAGAGACATGAGCCATGAGCCAGAGTCATTATTGTACATTCAGTGTCCCCAATTCACACGCAACCGTGGCGAGTGAACATAGTGAACCCCAGTTATTCTTATAATTTGGTGTGTACCCAATGTAATTCCCCTTACAGTGGATGATGGCGCGTTGAGTCGCGAATAGGCAGTGTGTTCATCGCGACATCACAATGGAGTAGGCGCCCAAGGACTGAAGATTCGGCAGATCCACATCTTGCAGGCATTGGTCGAAGCTGGGACCGAACTGCAGGCGAAGGAGGCTGCTCGGCCACCGCACGCCCTGTAGGCTTTGGTTAAAGCTGAATCCAAATGTCAGGCTCTGCAGGCCTTCGGGAAACTCCACGTCTTGCAAACTTTGGTCGAAGCTATCACCTAAGGTTAGGCTCTCGAGGCCGCTCGGCAAGTGTAGGCCTTGCAAACTCTGGTTAAAGTTGTCACCAAACGTCAAGCTCTGAAGGCTGCTAGGCAGCTGGGCGCCCCTTAAGGATCGGTCAAAGTCGCGGCCGAAAGTCAAGCTCGCCAGGGTATCTGGCAGGTCAACGCCTTGCATTTCTTGCTGGTAAGAATGGCCGAAGGTCAGGCTCCGCAGGCTGGGCAAGCGGATTCCTTCCAAACTGTGGTTGAAGTCACAGCCGAAAGTTAGGCTCTTCAGACTGGGCAAGAGCACGCCCAGCAAGGTGTGGTTGAAATTGAACCCAAAGCTTAAGCTTTGTAAGCCGCAAGGCAAGCGCACGTCCGCAATGTCTGATTGAACCTCTCTCCGAAACTCAGACTCCGCAAGCCGCTGGGCAGATTTACGCCGCGTAAACTCCGGTCATAGCTGTCGCCAAAGCTCAGCATCTCCTGAGTTGGTCCAACTGACACCCTGCAAAAGGCATCCCCGTTTCTTGCTCAGATTTTGTTGGCACGTCCCAAGAGTTACGTCGAAGGTCGCACCAAGACCGGAACATGCCAGTCAAGTCTCAAGGCCGCTGGGCAGGTCCACACCACGCAAAGTGTGGTTGAAGCCAAAGCCAAAGCTCAGGCTTCGAAGGCCCAGGGGCAAAGTCACACCTTTCACATTCCTTGGAGTCAAATGCCCCCGTTTGACAAAGTGCTCAAGTCCCTCCGTGGTTATTCATTGGATTGAAAGTCGCCTTTCCGGCCAGACATCTTCCTTTAAGCTTTTGGAAGGGTGATGCCCTTGATTACCTCTCAGGTACAGGCCTGTGTGTGTGTGTGTGTGTGTGTGTGTGTGTGTGTGTGTGTGTGTGTGTGTGTGTGTGTGTGTGTGTGTGTGTGTGTGTTTGTGTTTGTGTGTGTTTGTGTTTGTGTTTGTGTTTGTGTTTGTGTTTGTGTTTGTGTTTGTGTTTGTGTTTGTGTTTGTTTGTTTGGGTTTGTTTGTTTGTATGTGTGTGCGTTTGCGTTTGCGTTTGTTTGGTTTGGGTTTGCGGGTTTGCGTTTGCGTTTGCGTTTGCGTTTGCGTTTGCGTTTGCGTTTGCGTTACGTTTGCGTTTGCGTTTTTTGCGTTTGCGTTTGCGTTTGCGTTTGCGTTTGCTGCGTGCTGCGTCTGCGTCTGCGTCTGCGTCTGCGTCTGCGTCTGCGTCTGCGTCTGCGTCTGCGTCTGCGTCTGCGTCTGCGTCTGCGTCTGCGTCTGCGTCTGCGTCTGCGTCTGCGTCTGCGTTTGCGTTTGCGTTTGCGTTTGCGTTTGCGCTTGCGCTTGCGCTTGCGCTTGCGCTTGCGCTTGCGCTTGCGCTTGCGCTTGCGCTTGCGCTTGCGCTTGCGCTTGCGCTTGCGCTTGCGCTTGCGCTTGCGTTTGCGTTTGCGTTTGCGCTTGCGCTTGCGTTTGCGTTTGCGTTTGCGTTTGCGTTTGCGTTTGCGTTTGCGTTTGCGTTTGCGTTTCTGTTGGTGTTTGTGTGTTTGTGTGTTTGTGTGTTTGTGTGTTTG